AGTTAGAACTCTTCACCCTGACATGCTAGCATTCTTTATGCAGGGAAATATATATTCAGCTCTGTGAGCCTCAACTTGAAGACTAAAGTAACACAGTCCATAAACAGGTTTGCTTTCTTAGTGACAACGAGATCACTGTAGATAAAATTCAAGGCATGCCTGCTTTCTTGCTCAATTCCTATATACCCTAAGGAACCTTATTGCATTTTTGACCTACAGTATGAAAAATCAGCCCAGACTGGTAGGAGTCTGTGATAAAAGAATGTTGCAAACGTATAATTTGTTTTGTTTTTCAATATGATATCTAGCCAAGCTGAAGACCCGCAATTCTGTGTACATTGTGTGGCGCTCCTTGATCTAAACTGCAAGCTCATATATTCCTGAATAGATGAAGAAGCTATGTAAATTAACAACAAACCGCAGTGGGAAAGCTTTGAGACAGTCTGAAATAAAGACAAACCACATGAAAGATCCATGTATGTAGGCATCAGTGAACACTACAAATGAAAAGAACTGTAAATGAGGACTAATAAGAGAGGAGATCTCAGAAATGTATGTCTAGAATAGGATGGGGGGGGGGAGAAAGAAGGACACATGCTTGGGAACAACTCAGTCCTACTGATTTACAAAGCCTATTTGTGTGTTTTATCTCCCTTAGATCACAACTGAGTACTGAAAATATAGTCATTCTGGACCTGATCCCACATGCAGCCAACACAGATGCATGTCTGGATTCACACCACAACACTCATCCATGTCCCAATAAATTGGCTGGATGTGCATTGTGATACAGGTATGTTCTGCTTATCCACTAGTTGTTGCATATCCTTCACTGTGCGGGATTTCAGCTACATCCATGACTAGATGCTTAAAGTGATTTCTTTATCAAGTGTTTAGAAAATTCAGAATAATGAAAAACAACTGTTGCTTGTCCAAGATGTCTCAGTGTTCGCTCTTTTTGAGGTTTACCCTGAACCTGAAAGGAAGGACATTTTGATTTAGGGAAGATCAGTAATGTTTGTTTTCCAGGGGAAAATGGAGTAATCTGCATAGGGTAACATGCACAAGAGAGCAGAGGGTTTGTTGAGTCCATGGGTCCCTTGATCAACTACAGTGGTACCTCTGGATGCAAACGGGAACTGTTCCGGAGCCCCGTTCACAACCTGAGCAGAACGCAACCCGCGTCTGCACGTGCTGCGATTAGCCGCTTCTGTGCATACGCGTGACGTCATTTTGAGCGACTGTGCATGCGTGAGCGGCGAAACCCAGAAGTAACCCTTTCCGGTACTTCCGGGTCGCCGCGGAACGCAACCTGAAAAGATTTAACCTGAAGCGTCTTTAACCCAAGGTATGACTGTACATTCTTTCTGCAACACCCCTGTGGGGCTCAGGAGCCCTGTGATGTCACCCCTTGCCTGCAGAGCTTTTTCGAACACGTTCCCTTGTGGAGTGTTTCCTCTGCCTCCTCCTCTCCTTGAGAGTCCCTCCAGGCAGCCGCTGCTGCCCCCCTGCCCCAAAGAGAGGTGCCTCCTCACACTGCCCCACAGGGGCCTGGGACTTTGTCCATTCCCAACAGCAAGGGCTGGCAGGCAGGAGGGCTGAATCCCTCACCTGCTTGCTTGCTTACTCTGAGGCTGCCTCAGCTCCTGGCAACCAGAACCCCATTGCCAAGAGGCACCATTCATCTGGGAAGCTTGTAGCCAGGGCTGCTGCAACAAACAGCTCTGCAAGCCTTTGGGAGACACAAGAAGGCATCAGGAGGGAGGGAAGGAAAGAGGGATAAAGGTCAGTTTTGCCCGCAGCACCCCTGGCCATCATTCAAGGCACCCCAGTTGAACTGGCTGAACACCACTGCTCTAGAGACTAATCTAATTTCTCATGTTTATTCTACTTGCCTTTATTAATCAAAGCTAAAAGCACTGAAATGGCCAAGCTTACCTAATATCATATTTTCAATTAGTATCCATTAATTGTCACTAACAAATTTATAAAAGGGGGGGGTGTCAAATTTTCCACCTCACATCACTGGAGCAAATTCATGCACTTTTAGGCACTATTAGAAACAGATGGTGAGTCTCATGAGCATGGATTGTATCAGGGTGGATTTGATTTAAATCACAATTTAAATTTAAATCACTAGTAAGACAGACCTGATTTAAACCACTAGTCAGTAAGACTTGATTTGAATGCTTTTTTTTACAGAAAGACTCATTCTTGCTGGTATAATCTTAATATTTACAACCAGATGAAGGTTTCATTTTTGGAATAATAAATTTTCAGAGTAGTTTTTACAGCTATATCAAAAATTACTGATTTGGTTGTACTATTAGAAATACATAGACAGATAATTATGAAATTATTGTGAGATTAAGTTAACTGTTTATATTTGGACAACTTTTTTGCTGTACTTTATTGGAAGGAGAAAAATAATAATTTCCTTAATAACAATTTAAACAATTTATTTAACTAGAACAATAGCATTATAGCATATGTATCTATGCTTGTTAACTGATGCGGTTGAACAATTTTTTAAAAAACAACTTAGGCTGAGTTTTAGCACACATGAAAAACTTAAAACAAATCCTTATTTCCTGATGAACAGCCTTTGGACTATAATGTAACTTAAACAGAAAACTATCTTTAGAAAGATTTTTCCTCCAAAAGCATTTTATTTTAAATATCCGATTTAAATTTAAAAAAATAAAAATCCGATTTCTTTGATTATTATTTTTTAAATCATTGGTTTTTATCCACCCTGGATTGTATGCAACAGTTGGACATGCAGGGATGTGACAGGATGCAACTGCCACATCTGCAGTGTGGAATAATGTGATCACACCTCTGCTCGACCATCCTTCGCCACAACATGTCAGACTACATTTTAAAAAGAAGGATTTCGACATATGACAAGGCCTGGATCATTTTTACCACATGCCCAAACTCAGCCCATATTCGAGAACTGCTTCACATATGGTCGGTGTCCTACACAGGTATCACCTCTGGACAAGAAAACCTGTGTACACGGTCACATGTACCAAATGCCTGCAACCATTTCCCCCTGCATACATGCAGTGGGAAGCTACAACTGGCAACATAAAACACCCAGCAGGACTTAGGATCAATGTTGTGTTAGTTTTTTAAAAATCCATTTATTCAAAAGTTACAGTACAGTTTTGTCCACTGCCATAATATCACATAATGATCAATGTTAATTCTCTATATTCACCTATGGACAACTTTTGGGCCTACAGGTGAGAGAAAAAACATTGCCACGCCCACTTTTAGTTCTGGCCCCACCCGCCATGAGCCCTGCCCACTGCCAGCATGTGAACCCTGACCAATGGCCCCCTAGGCTCTTTTGGGGGGGGGTTGCCTAATCCTGATGGATGCAATCCTCTTTGGGCACTCAGTCATCTGAGGAAAGAGCAGTGTGTTGTGCACAGCAGAAATTTATGGGTACACTCTGCAGTGATTTTTCTGAGAGGGGACCAATTGATACGTCAAAAGCAGGAATCACCAAGTGCTACAAGTTCACACAATAGACTTTGCTGTACAACTATGGAGAAAACAACCCCAAAATGAATATGAAAAGCAGCCTTTTTATTTTCTACCAAGTGCCAAGCTGGGCACAATAGTTGGTTTTCTGCCCATGCAAAAAGACCAGTTTCAACCATCAAGCCTTTAATAATCTCTGCCTTTCAACCGAGCTTTTAGAATGGAGCAAGGCAACCAGCATGGGCTAACTCAAGATATTCCTCAGAAAGACTGTCTTGAAAAGGATACATTTAAAGTATTCCGCTTTTTAAAGGATTTTTAGGGCAGGCCACTTTTATCTGCCTCCCCCCCCCCCCGCCCTTCACTTCCTGTTTTGTAAACTCTCTACTGAGAAAGTAATCTCTGCTCCATTCTATTCTCCACACACACGCAGGCTGCCCATCTAACCACTTTCCTATTTGCCATTAGGTAAGCGGGAAGCAGATGGAGTGGGGAGAGGGAGGGAGGGGGAAAAGGGAAGGAGAGAGAGAGAGAGAGAGAGAGAGAGAGTTGCGGAGAGAAAACAGGAAAGACAAACAGGGAAGTTATCCAGAGATCTAAGAGAGCAAAGCACAAAAGCATTACGGGGAGCGAGTTCAGCAAGGAAAAGCCAACGCCAGGCTTTGAGATCAATCTGGAAACAGGGAGATGAATAAGACCCATGGAGAAGTCCAGTACTTTATTTTATAAGGGGAGAGGGCGGGCGGCGGGAGGAGACCAAGGATAGGGGAACCTGTGGCTTTCCACATGCGAGAGGACTACAAATCCCATCATCCATAAACACTGATGGCACATGCAGCCCACCAAAGGACCACAGGTTCCCCACCCCAGGGGTAGACCGTCCCTCAGACCGATCTGCAAAATATGGGGGTGGGGAGGGTAGGTCCTGAGACTGGCTGAGCCAATGAACAGATAAGCCTGAAAGACCCCCAAGCAGAAAATCCGTACTGGTTCCCATTCGATTTGGGGGTGGTGGGGTATCCGACGACGTCTCGCTCACTTGCCCCACCATCCCAACCTGACCTTGGAAAAGTTGGTTCCTGGCTTGGCATTAATTATATCCCCCTACCTACCTACCTACCTAGTGCCGCCACCTCGGCGCATTGTTTACAGGAGACGGCCCAAGCGCCTAGTGGGTGGGCGCCTTCTCTCCCGACGCTCGCCTCGGCGCCCCACCACACGGGTCGATCCCCGCGGGCTACTCGTGTGCACCCGAGAGCGTGCCAAAGTGCCGTGTCTACTACTCCCGGGAGCGCGAGGGGCTCCGGAGAAGTTTCCCCTGGAGTGGGGGAGCGCGGGGAACGGGGAAAGCGGAGCGAAAGTTTGGCGAAACTGGAGCAGGGGACCCGAGAAGTGATGGAGAGGAAGGAGCCGCGCGCGCGCACCACCAAACCCTCGTCCGGCGGGTCCCCCAAATAAGTGAAACAAAAGCAGAGAGGAGTTGCGGGGACGGCACAAACACTCACCATGATTCTCCACAGCCTCTCCGGGCAGCCTTTGCACGCGCGGGGTCAGCGAGGGACGCTGCTGCTGTTGCTACTGCTGTTGTTTGTGTTGCTCAACTAAATCGGCCTGAGCGTCGGGCGGAGAGCTGGGCTTTGCAAAAAAAGGAGGAGGCGGAGAGCGGCCGCCCGCAGATCCACCCCAGCCTGCCTCTCTTTCTCTGCGCGTGACTGGACAGAGAGCGAGAAGGAGAGGGAGGGCAGGAGAGAGAGAGGAGTCGTCGCCGCCGCCGCCCTCTTTCGCTCCGGCGCGGCTGTGATTGCAAGAATCGCCACCGCGCGCCTCTCCGGGTGCCGGCCCGGAAGCAGGCCTAGGCGCCCTCGCAGCCTCCGCCTCGAGTAGCTCGCTCGCTCGCCACAGGCCTTGGCAATCACAGCGCCCTCTGCCGCAGACCCGCTGGGTCCAAAGGCCGCGGAGCCGCACGCTCGCTTTGCCCCTCGCCCGGGCGAAAGCGAAGCAGGCAGGGGACGCAGCTGCAAGGGGAGCCTTTGGCGCGCGAGGGGAGGCGCTGGCTAGAGCAGGACGAAGGCACATCTCACCGCGGGTGGGGTAGGGGTTAGAGTGGGTCGGAGGGAGACCCGGGTTCAAAGGCTCACTCTGCCACGAAAGCTCACCCGTGGGCCGGTGGCTGCCTCTCTTATCAGCCTACCCCTCATACAATTGTTTTGTTTTGAGGGTAATTTGGAGAGTAAAGGGAACTATGCTCCCTTGAACTTCTTGGAGGAAAAGTGGGGTCTAAATACAATAAATAAAAGGATAATAAACAAACATGACCTGAGAGCAACAGCGCTTGCCCCCACGTGAGCATGCTCTTCTGATACTGGAGGTTGTGCTTGGCATAACCTTATCCTCCATGATTTGTCCGTTTTCTGCCTAGGAAAGTGGGGAGAGGTGATGACCCAAAATGCTAAAGGCCACACTGCATGCACCTGACAAAGTAGCCTCTCTGACCCAGGAAGACATGCTCAAATAAACCTGAGAGAGTTTAAGGTGTTAGCAGATGCTTTGTTGGTTTGGCTGCTACCATCATGAATGTTGTCTTAAGTACCAAAGAGACTCCAAAATTACCACTGCAGTACAGTACTATCCTTTTGCCCACTTCACCACCATTTCCCACATTAAAAAAAGGAAAAGAGAGGAAAAATCCATCATCACTCTAATGAAGTAAATACATTTCTGTTCTTTACTTCCAAACTCCCTGGAGTATGCCACTTATTCCTTGCTGTCAACTTCATCCTCTTGGCCTGTTGCTAACTAGCTTCCACCCCATGCAACTCCCCAGAAACTGCCCTACCAATGATTATGACCCATTGCAATCCGCCTTCCACCCACTGCAGCCCACAGAAACTGCCCTATTACCAATCACCTCACTTCCAACTCCTTTTGTTTTGTAAGGAGTCTCTGCTCCAGGGATACTTGGACTGTCCCCTGCTGGTTCTTTTCCTACCTCTTTAATTGCTCGTTCAGTGATTACTGTCACCACAAGGTGAAACTTTTTGTAGTTTCATCCTTTCCATTAGGAACTCTTAGGATCTGTTCTTAATCCTCTTCTTTCTCTTCTCACTACACTACACCTGGGGGACAACATCAGAGTTTGTGGCTTTCCATACCACCTAGAGCTTTCCACCAAATCTTAGATCTCCATCTGTGTCTGACATTTTGTGTTCAGGTGTTTCATTGACACCTGAAATCCAGCTTGTCTCTGACCAAACTTCTCTTTCCTTCTAAGTTTTTCTCTCCTCAAATATTCTGTTTTCATCAAAGACATCACAGATCACCCTGCTGATCAAGCACAAAGCTTTGGATTCATGTCTGAGATATTTTTTTCTCCCTGTATGCAGTGACGCAAGGAAAAAACTCAATTTCTTGACACCAGATGTATGCACAAATATTCTCTGGAACAGGAGGTTCTATACAATATTTGTTACTCAGGGGTCAGCAAACTTTCAGTAGGGGGCCGGTCCACTGTTCCTCAGACCTGGGGGGGGTGGACTATATTTGGGGGGGGGGGAATTGAATGAATTCCTATGCCCCACAAATAACCCAGAGATGCATTTTAAATAAAAGGACACATTATACTCATGTAAAAACATGCTGATTCTCGGACCACCTGCGGGCCAGATTTAGAAGGCAATTGGGCCGGATCTGGCCCCCAGCCCTTAATTTGCCTACCCATGTGTTACATGCTTACTCTTTTGGTTGTTCTATTACAAAGAATACATGCTGCAAAATCTTATGAGAAATGTTTTAATGCAATTGACGTTGCAGGAACTATTGCCTTTTCCCACTATTCCTATGCAAGAGTGGCTATGGTTTAAGGTCTTCAATCATTCAGTGTAAATCAATAAGTTTTGCATGTGCAAAACTCCTTTTCTGTTGTAGGAAGCTAACTTGAAAGGAGTCCTACAGAGTTAAGCTTGTCTGTCAATAATGCTACAGGTGCCATAGAGGGCTAAGTGTAACCATATCTGCCCATTGTTTAGATGAAACAATTCAGAAGCAAGACACAAAACTAGAATTTCTAGTCCTGTGATGTTTATTTGGTTAAGTGGTCAGAAGATCAGCGTAAAAATTATTCAGGATCTACAAAGCTGCGCCTGATAAACAGGCCAACATATTTTATTTTAAATTATTATTTTTACAATGAGTAATAAAAACTGCTGATGACATGCACTGCCTTCAAAGAGATGTTCCCTGTGTGTGAGAGAGAAATGAATTATTCTAAGCTGATACCTGTTGTAGCACATGAGTACATCATCTAAAAGTTACCTTTTAAAAAAATGCTTATTTGTCTATATTTATGCAGATGGGCAGAACAGTCCTCCTAACTCACATTTAGAGGGAGAGAAAAGGAGACGCCGCTACAGAGTGGCTGCCAAATCCATTGCCCACCAGTAGTGATGCTGTCACCGAGATGTGAAATGTTATGAGCAGCTATTTCTTTTACTACCAGAGCTGCTATAAAGTTGTGCCGTTTCTGTGGACATGCTGGGGGAATTAAGAGGTTCTGAATGTGGTGTAACAACGCCACCCATTTTTACTTGCTCCACCAGCAGGACATCACAAATAGAACATCCACACTGGAGGAACTTTTCAGAGGCCTGCCAGTGGGATAAGTGTAGCTCCACAATCAACTTTCAGCCCCGTCAGCAGAGCAACGCTTAATGCCCTTAAGGCTCCTCAGCTGGTTTTAAGCTGTGGTTAGAATTGCACCCTTAATGGGTCATTTAATTAACTGATTAAAAATCCATGCAAGTAAGTAACTAAGATTTCTTTAACCAGCTGACAGCCCTAATAATTTCAGTTGAGTTGGAGAAGTACCAAACTGAGGCAGCAGACAACTGCCACAGGGACATACACAGAGGGTGTATTCTTTCTTGCAAACTTACATGGCCTGTATTAGCTTATCTTTCAAGGTTTCCTCCAGGGAATTCTGGGAGTAATAGTTTGGTGTGAGATTGCTGAGAGTTCTCAGTTAGACATCTCCATGCCTTCTCAGAGAGCAACAATTCTCAGAGTTACCTGCAGAGAAAGAATGATTATCAAACTAGTTTTAAGTCTGAATAGGCCTGGGGTCCATGTAAAACATTCCAGCCGTGACTTCACTGACAACCATGGCGTTGGCCTTCAAACCTGCATGCAGTCAATATAAATAATACCAGTAGTACATACAGTGGTACCTCTGGTTATGTACTTAATTCGTTCTGGAGGTCCGTTCTTAACCTGAACCTGTTCTTAACCTGAAGCACCACTTTAGCTAATGGGGCCTCAGCCTGCTGCTGCCACCGCGCGATTTCTGTTCTCATCCTGAAGCAAAGTTCTTAACCCGGGGTAATATTTCTGGGTTAGCGGAGTCTGTAACCTGAAGCGTATGTAACCCAAGGTACCACTGTAATGTATCTCAGAGTCTTCTCAGTCGCGTAAGTAACACTATACCATGCCCTAGGAAGTGATCCAGTGCTGTTTACAAATTTATTACTGATGTCAGCATGGAAGCCTGAAAATGCAAGCGTGTCAAAAGATCTTATCAAGCAGCAGCTTGATGAGATACATGATCTCCAACTTCTTCTCATCCACAAGGTGAGTGCCTGTCATAAACAAGTTACATGAACCCCAGTCTCTTGAGCGGTGAGACATTTCAGGGACTTCAAGCTCACACCCGGTCTATTTCCCTTGGAGCGAAGGTCACTGGAGACCAATGGCGTTTCTGTGTGATATGGCTTTATTGGCACATATGTACAGGCTGAGCCTAGCACTGGGTTCATTACAGAGTGCAAGACAAGTATGTGTGAGATTGTTAACGGAAAGGGAATAAAAATAAAATAGAAAAATATCTCAATCCTCCTGTCTTGATCGCGATGAATCCACGTCTCCTCCCACTGCTGAAACAAATTCGGATTTAAAACAAAAAACAAAACTCAAGTGAATTTTCTTAAATGGAATTTGCCTCTGGAGGAAAGAAAACCAGGAGTTGACTATATGTTAATGGGGGGGGGGGGAGGCGAAAAGAAAACAGAGCAGATGAAAGGGGAGAAGGGGTAGGAGGGATAATCGTTGGCTGTTGTCAAGAAAAAGTGTTACCTAGCAACTTGGACACAGTCAGGGACAAAGAAGGCAGACTTTTGTTATGTACAGAAGTGAGGTTATTTTTGCAGCCTTTGGCCAGACAGTAAGTCAAAAGGACACCCCATTCCCCACATGGATGTGGCAACAGCTTAAATGGTGAGTCGCTCCTTTATAAATATTGAATAAGAAGCACATCTGGGGTTTGTTGTTGTCTTTGTCCAAATGCCATAGCTGCAGGCCAAATTAGCTTATGCAGATCCTTTAAAAAACAATTGCTTTCTGAGAACTCAGCAGGGGGGGGGGCGGGCAGAGAAGAAAGGGAGTGAAAGCAAGAAATATACTACTGTACCTCCTATATCAAATTTCCATAAGTATCCTGCTTTAAAAACAGTTGAGAGACAAGAGCAATTTCTTTCTGCTTCATACTAGAAGAATTGCATACAGCTGTTGACCACGGACCACCTCGATTTCCAAGCATATGCAGTGTATTTTTTCTTGTTCTGTTTGACCGACTGCTATAATTTCTTTTCACGTCTTGTCCCATATTCATCTCAGAGACTGGACATTTTATGTATTTGTTGCATAAGTCTATTGGATGGTGGACCAATTAGGGGCCCCTCCAGACAGGTGTTTTATCACAGGTGTATTCTGCAATGCTTTCTTGACACAACAATAGTGCATTAGTTGTGAACTTTTTCTGCTCTTCTCTGTTCTGGGATGCTGCCCCAATGCTACCACACTATTGCTGTCTGGAGGGGCTACAGTGCAACAAAAGTGGACAAAAACAAACGGGAGCATGTATGTTTTAAAAGGTTGTGGGATTTCAGCAGGAATTTACAGGCTATGCCCTGACGGGAAGTGAAGCAGTTTGACCACCCCAAAAGTTTTGCAGCTTCAAACACAGTATTCAAAGCGGTATCATCTCTGAGTGTCCCAAATGCACCATGAGCAGAAATCATCATGAGTGTGGAAGTGCCCACAGTTTCAACAGCCTCCCTTTTTTTGCAAAATATTTTTATTGAGAAAGTTTTCAACATAAAATACAATAATCTGAAAAAGAAAAAGAAAGAGAAAGAGAAGCAAAAAGAGAGAATAAAAAGCAAGAAATAGGAAGGTGAGAGAGAGAGAGAAGAAAGAGAAAAAGAAATAAAAAGTAGTTGCATCATATCCTTTATCCATATACAGAAAAGTAGACCTTCCTAGCTCTCACCTGAGAACTTCTGTTTCTTTCTCCTCTGTCTCCCACACCAGCCAGTCATGTGACCCTTAACAAAGAAAAGGAAGTATAGTGGTACCTCGGGTTAAGTACTTAATTTGTTCCGGAGGTCTGTTCTTAACCTGAAACTGTTCTTAACCTGAAGCACCACTAATAGGGCCTCCTGCTGCCGCTGCACCACTGGAGCACGATTTCTGTTCTCATCCTGAAGCAAAGTTCTTAACCAGAGGTAATATTTCTGGGTTAGCGGAGTCTGTAACCCGAAGCGTATGTAACCCGAGGTACCACTGTACAACCTTTCCATTATGGGTGAAATTGACTAGATCAGAAACTGCTTAGGATTTGGTTGAGTCAGTTTATCCATTCTTTTCACTTCCATGGGACATGAGGAAGCAACTCCAAATATGAGAACCCTAACCCATTCCCACAAATTACATTTATACATTGACCAGCCTACTGAAGCTGGATCAAGACCAGTGCCTCCACAGGAGACGGTGGCAAATAAACATTTGTCAACACAGTCTGAATCTTTTCCCAGACTGTGACTGAAGTAGCTTCACTGTGTCCATTCAGTCAACTCCCCTACCTCCTTGCAAATTTTACAAGGACTTTTCTGGTCCACCACAGGCTCACCTGTGCTTTCTACCACTACATAAGCATCCCTGGAAGGTACGGGCCCATCTGCACAACATAAACCCCTCTCCACGGTTGCCTTTTCTGTCAGAGGCGCAGGCAGAGAGTGATGAGAAATAGGACATTGTGTCAGTCCCTGGCATGGCCTTGAGACATTACACTGCGTTGCACTAAAACTTTTGCAATGCCACAGAAGGAGACCTGCCTGTTCTCAGCACTAGGTGTGCTACACCTGTACAAGCTCATCAGAAGAACTGCTGGATCGGTTCCACATTGTGTTTCCCACAGTGGCCAGCTAGATCTTCTGGAAGGTCCACAGACAGAGTGTGAAGGCAAACCACTATGACTCACTCCCAGTAGCTGGTACACGCTACCACACTGCTTTTGAATCAGGATGTTGAATGTAGTCATCATGGCTATGAGCCATCGACAGACTTCTCTGTGAATTTCTCAAATTGCTTTTTAAGGCCACCTGAGCTGATTGTCATCAGAACCTGGCAGTAGTGAATACTATTAATTGTGTCTTGTACGGAGAAATCCTGTCTTTTGTCTCTGCTACCTCTCCTCAACCAATTTCTATGGCTGACTCCCAGATTCTAGTAGTATGAGAAAAGAGGATATATTATATAAACCTCTATAACGGCCCCACTTAGTCATATATATATATATATATATATATATATATATATATATATATATCCCCTAGCCAAAAGGACTCTGGTGCTTTCACCTTGATCATTTAGGTTTGTCTTCTCTGCCTCTTTTCCTATTCTACTACATCCTCTTTGAGATGGGCAACCAGAGCTGTACACAGCATTTAGAATGAAAGAAATGTGAAGGCATCTGCCCCATCCTTGCAAAGAATAAAAAACAAAAGCAACTATCTTTGTTGCTGAGACAGTTTGCTGTCATGATAGGATGGTGAAATTTGTTTTTGAACTGAAGGGTGGAGGGAAGTATTTACTTTCAGTAACAACGACACAATTTAACCAAAGCACCATTGATTTCTATAGAAGAGTAGTAGAGCATGTGCTTAAGTCAGAGTTTTTCAACCTTTTTGAGTCCACGGCTCCCTTGACCAACTACATTCTTTCTGTGGCACTGTGATGGCCTGGGACTCGGGCTCAGAACCAGAGGAGTCTCAGTCCGCACCGGATCCTTTGCCTCAGGCGGCATCTGAACCAAGTCTGGGGCCTGATTCTGAAGGAGCCCCAGTCTGCACAGGTTCCCCTGCAACAAGCACCAGCTGGGCCGAGTCTGGGGCCTGAGCCTGCCCTGGCTCCAGATGCGGGGATTACCTTGTTGCCTTCAGCTGGTCCACTTCCAGTTGGGTCAGGAGAGGCTGAGGCGGCCTCTGGGTCTAGTAACCCACCGATATTTCTGGAGCTGCAGAGACTAAGGTCTGAGAGAAGGAGAGACCTTGGGCATTGTCGGCCAATTGGTGTTAAAGAAGGATAGAATATTTTTCATGTATGCTACAACAGCAGCAAGAATACTCATCGCAAAGTACTGGAAGACGCAAGAATTACCCACCGTGGAAGAATGGCAACTGAAGGTGATAGACTATATGGGACTGGCGGAAATGACGAGCAGAATCCGTGACCAGGGAAGGGATACGGCGCAGGAAGACTGGAAGAAATTTAAAGAGTATCTAAAAAAATACTGTAAAATTAATGAAGGTTAGAAAAATGCTGGATTGGTCATTAAGGGGTTAAAAGCGGTAAGGGATAATTTGAAAAAAATAATTGTCATTAAAACTAATTTAAAAGTAGGGTAAGGATTTGCTGGCAATTGAATTTGAAATTAGAATACAGAAAGGGAAGGTATGAGGAAGTCGTGAAAGTAAAAATTGAAGTTATACGTGTTTTATCTTTTTTGTATTTGTATGTCATTTTTCTTCTTTTTTCTTTTTTCTCAGTTTGTTATGGTGTTGTTAAAACTTCAATAAAAATTTAATTTTAAAAAAAAGAGAGAGAAGGAGAGACCTGAGTGCTTGCCTTTGGGCAAGACAGGGAGTTGTGTCCAGTGGCGTAGCGTGGGGGGTGCCAGGGGTGCCGGCCGCACCGGGCGCAACATTTTGGGGGGCGCGTTTGGCCGGCCCCCCTCGAGGAAGCGGGAACCTCTCCAAGGCACAGCGTGCCGTCGGTAGAGGAAAAAAGCCGCGCAGCAGCAGCAGCAGCAAAGTCGGGAGGAGGAGGAGGTGGAGCGAGCCTGCTAATTCCTTGCTGGGAATTAAGCGGCTCAAGACTCTCTCCACTGGCCGCCTGGGTAGTGAGCCGAGCCGAGCAGGGAGTCTGGCGAGGGGGCGGGAAGAGACTTTCCCCCCTTTTTTCCACCTCGCCTGGTCAAAAAGGAGAGCGGAGTCTCCTCAGGGCGCCCTCAGGCAGGGCAGGGAAAGGCAAGCAGAGCGAGGAGGAGAGAGGGGGGGGAGCAGCCAGGAAACGCCGCGGTGTGGAGGAGGAATCAATTTAGGAGAGAAAGCGAAAAGCCTTGGAGAAAGGGAAAAAAGGAAAGAAAAGAGGCAGCTCCAGGAGAGCGCGGGGGAAAGAGAAGCCTCGCTGCTGCTGCTTGGGAGAGTAAATTACTGTACTTGCCTTGCCCCGGGTTAGGGGGCGCAAATTACTTGCCTTGCCCCGGGTGCTGATAACCCACGCTACGCCGCTGGTTGTGTCACCAGGGGATCAGGACCGGCCGTTACCCCGACAAAGATAAAAGGCTGCCGGACCCCACCCCAGATTGCGGGACCAACATTGCTGTTTGCCAGAACCTGCCTGGGACCCTGTGCCTGACCTAGCCTTGTTTCCTGGTGTCCTGCCTTGGCCCTGTTGGACTGACTCCTCGCAGAATCCTTGGATTCAGGACCAGACCTGGACCACGTTGCTCGGGTTAACCCCCAGGCCCAGCACAGGCACCCCTGTGGGGTCAGGGGCCCAGTTATGCCACCCCTTGCCTGCAGAGCTGGCAGCCTCTTACCCTTTTCCAAACAACCTCCCTTGTGGAGTGTTTCCTCAGCCTCCTTTCCTTGAGAGTCCTTCAGGCAGCTGCTGCTGCTGCCCCTGGTCTCTGCGCTGCGTCCCCACCCCACCCCTGCCGAAGAGAGATGCCTCCTCACACTGCCCCACAGGGGCCTGGGACTTGTCTGCCCATTTCCAACAGCAAAGGCTGGCAGGCTGGCTGTCTGGACTTCCTTACCTGCTTGCTTGCTTAATCCGAGGCTGTCTCAGATCCTGGCAACTGCAACCCCTGGCCAGCCACAGAGGCACCATTCAACTGGGGAGCTTATACCCAGGGCTGATGCAACAGACAGACACACAAGCTTTTGGGAGGCAGAGATGCAAGAAGGCATCAGGGGAAGGAGGGAAGGAAAGAAGGACCGAGGCCAATGTTGCCTGTGGCACCCCTGGCCACCATTCAAGGCACCCCAGGGTGACATGGATGACAACCACTGGCTTAAGAATATTCCATTGAAATGGGGGTTTCAAAGCTCTTCAGGTGGATGATTACATCTGTTTGTAAACCAAAAAGTGTGAGGGCTCAAGCCCACATGGAAGCTAACTGAGGAATCCTTTCACCCAAAGTCAGAAATAGGAAGAGCAGCTGCAGGGAGTCACTGGTAAGAGGGGACAAACTTCAGAGATAACACTCTTTTCCATTTGGCTGGGAAACGGTGCTGGGTTACACTTGATACGGGAGAGCCAGGTCCCCAAACTGAACAACGGGTTCCACAATAAATTCCAGGCCTGGTGCTGCTCAAATCAAGACCCTAATTGGCAATCACATTTCCATGAGCCTAAATGGTACATGCAATATCTTTCCTTGAGTGAAAAATGTATACCAGAGGTGGGGAAACTACAGTCGCCCAGATGTTGATGGACCCCAACTCCCATCAGTAACATGTAGGGATGATGGGAGTTGTAGTTCAGCCATATCTAAAGGGCCACAGGTTCCCCATTCTTGCTATGTATCATCATTCATGTAGGATAGGAATATCCCTGCCCAGGAATAGTAGCAGCGTTTGAATAAACAGGACCTAGCAAGGGCTAGTTGCATGATCACCATTTCACAAATTCTGATTACTTTCAATGAAGAAAGATTCCAGCATTCACCTCCAGTAATCACTGTTGGCTCTGTTCACCTCCGTTGGGCAAACAAAACTTTGAAACCATAGCATCTTAATGTAATCTTGAAAATACTGATGTCTTGGACTTAGAAGGTTTCAATAATATGTTTGGGTGGCATGCATATTTATGGTATGACAAGGTTAAAGCTCATAAAGGATTTAAAAACCATATTGTCAGAAAAGCACTATTTAATGTCTGGACCAGATATAAAGATCTGTTGGAAAATAAAACCCCAAGGTGGCTGTCACCAATGGAAGCTAAGGCAGTTAAAAAGTTAAATATGGAGCCTAAGTGGCCAAAATATTGGGAAATTATGGAGAAGGAAGGGGATAAACTGAAATTGCAGAGTTTTGAGAAATTAAAAGGGAAGGTGAGAGATTGGCTACACTATCATCAAATAAATGAGGTCTTTAAGATGGACAGTAAGATTGGCTTCCAGGGGGAAAAAACAAAATTGGAAACTGAATTGTTAGATTCCAGTACGAGAAATTTGTCAAAAATGTACAACTTGCTGTTGAAATGGAATACACAGGATGAAACTGTCAAATCAAGTATGATTAAATGGGCTCAGGACATTGGGCATAACATCATGTTTGCTGACTGGGAAAAGTTGTGGACCACCGGGATGAAGTTTACGGCTTGTAACGCCTTAAGAGAAAATATTATGAAAATGATTTATAGGTGGTACATGACCCCAGTCAAGCTTGCAAAGATTTACCATTTACCTGATAATAAATGTTGGAAATGCAAAGAAAACGAAGGTACATTCTTTCATCTCTGGTGGACGTGCCCAAAGATTAAGGCATTCTGGGAAATGATATATAATGAACTAAAAAAGGTATTTAAATATACCTTCCCTAAGAAACCAGAGGCCTTTCTCTTGGGTATAGCCGGCCAGGGGGTGCTAAAGAAGGATATGACTTTTTTATGTATGCCACAACAGCAGCAAGAATACTTATTGCTAAGTACTGGAAGACACAAGATCTACCCACCTTGGAAGAATGGCAGATGAAGGTGATCGACTACATGGGCCTAGCAGAGATGACGACCAGAATCCGAAACCAGGGGAGAGAAGCAGCGGAAGAAGAATGGAGGAAGTTTAAGGACTATTTAAAGAAATATTGTAAAATTAATGAAGTTTAAATTGATGTTGGATTAGTGAAATAAATGGTTGACGGCGGTAATGGTTAAGATAAGGAGAAAAATAAGAGCAAACTAAGTTAAAATATGAGAAGATTTGCTGAATAATCGATTAGAAATTGGATCCAGAAAGGGGTAGCATGAGGAAGTCGGGGAAGTAAGGCTTTAAGAAAACAAGCTTTGAAATTATACTTGTTATTATTTGTTTGTTATGTTTTAATGTATTGTTATGTTTTGTTTTTGTAACTATAAGAAAAAAACCCCTTAATAAAATTTTTTAATTTAATGTAATTAATTAGCTGTTTTCCATATAGCACATGCTGTACACAGGTCTATGTGGAAACATCATCAAAGTCAACTTACGCAGCACTGTGGGGCTTCAAGATAGCATCATTAAACTGAGCTATGTTTCTGAGTTTCTGTTTTCATTTTGATAAGATGCTTCAATGCTTCTTCACAATTGCATCTCTTTTATTGATGCTGACGGTGCAACGTGTGGGTGTTGAACAGCACACAGTCCTTTGAGAGAAAGAGCTTGCTGGGTCTTCAGAATATGATCTCAGTGGCACTGCCATGACTCCAGGTCACCTTTCAAAACTGTCAGAACTGTCTTTAAATGGCCAGTTGTTTTGTTCTTCAGCAAACCTGTTGCAGACTCTGTTTCTCAAGTTCTCGTTCATCACATGACTCAGGCTCCCTGTTATAGAGTCTCTGGCATTAAAACCTTTCCTGCACACCTATGCGAGATTGTTCACATCATCCTTACTTGCGGCAGTCTACTTAAGACTGGCTTTTAAGGTTAGTACAACATTCTGAATTATTGACTTCTTTATGGAGAGAAAAATACAAGAACTCGCCAGTGTTCATCTAGACATTGGATTCGATCAAGTTGGTTGGATTCCCTGGAGTGTAAAAGATAACGTGTAATAGTTAGGCCAGATCAGAGCAAAATCAATGTATTTTTAAAGGCATTCACTGCAGTGGGAGGGAATAGAAATGTTTTAAACTGTATTGGCTTCCAGACAATGTGTTTTTATTCAGAATTTATTCAGATTTGCTTGTTTATACAGCATCATGTCAAGCAATTGTTATCCCATGCTTTTTCATTGCTTTTACATTGCCTTCCTTGCTGTAGAAAGTCAGGTTATTTTTGAACCAGGCTTGATGCATAAGAGCACCAGATCCAAAACCATTTTAATTGCACAAGATGAATTTGTTGCAATTCTACTTGCAAACTCGCCACAGTCTAGAAGCGCCCTGTCTCACTAGAAACGGGGGTATTTGCAATTATTCAAAGTTGTTTGTCAAACTATTTTTGCACACCTTTGTGGATTTGGAACAAGGAGCCTGGGTACTACGTAAGCAGCCAAGGGAACCAAATTTCACTGTTTTCCTAGGAGAGACATCCTTTAGGCATCCGTTGCTCTGCAAGTTGTATAATTGTTTTTTAAAACTTTGCCTCTTCTCTTTTTACTCAGGACCATCTACGAAAGAGGAAATGGGGGATCTGAAGAGTCCGTCTGCCAGCCCCTTCACAGGCAAAGACATCACTGTTCTGGCAGGGAAGCTTAAACACATGGCCCTGAATACCCCACTCCGTTTCAGCGCTCAGGCCTTGAGACCCCATTCCAAGAACAGCGCTCGGTTTGGCTGCCTCAGCCATCACTCTTTCTTCTCACGGCACAATCCCCACCCTCACAGAGTCACCCATATTCAAGGTAAACACACAGCAGTGCCATCCTGTACGTTCAGAAGTAAAGTTCAGGCATGCTTTTGTTAGGTAATGAAAATCCGAAAGCGCTTAAATAAATAAATAAAAATGTGCAAATGTTGCAGCACAAAATTGCTGCTTATAGCTGTAAATTACAGTGGCATATTTATGTGCTTTGCATGCAATAGAATGCAAAAAGTACAGTGTGTGACAATTCAATTAGCTCTTTAAGGCATGCAACAACAACAACAATTCCTCTGGTAATTAATACCCTAATATAGGCTCACCATGCCACAGAAAGAGGCTGTGCATACACCATACATTGAAAGCACATGACCTCTCCCAAATCACACTGGGAATTGTAGTTTGCTAAGGGTGATGGCAACTACAGTTCCCAGGATTCTTTGAGGGGCGTTGGGTGCTTTCAATGTATGGTGTGTACATAGCTGGAGTCTCACCTTTCAGTAAGTTTGAAGGCAGAATTGGAGCCTTCAAAATCCGAAATGGATTCCAGAAGGGAGTTCTAAAGACTCAGCAGGCACACAGGTGAAGAATCTGAGTCTAGGAAATCCTTTCTGAAGCAGAACCAGGTAGCTCCTCCAATCTCTAGTTCAAGCCAGTTTTCTTCTATAATGTGGTTCTTTCCCGTGCAACTTATCCATGGATGCCTTCTTCTGTTGCAGGCTTGAACGGTGCTCCTGTTTGCACAGTTAATGACGAGTGGTGCGAGCAGACCATTCTGCCACCTCACCCAATGATAAAAAGTCAGATTCGTGCTTCTGTTTTGGGGGCGCCTGGGGCTCAGATACCCATCGGAGACCCACAACCTGTTCCAGTCCCCTGGCTATCAACAGGTTAGTATGCAACAGGAATATTTCCAACGCAAGCGCCACACTCACACATGCACAACTTTCCAGGGGTGCACACTGGCAATTTGCAAAGCAAGACACCTCCCATTCACTTCAAAATGAGCTTTCCCCCACTATGCAAATAGCCCACAGGGGCCTTGATCTGTATTGGGGCTAATAGTTAAACCTTCTACACACACACACACACACACACACACACTATTCCACAAACATGCTAGGGTCTCAGTCTGGATCATGTTCCTCATGCTCAAAATTTGTGGCTTCTGGGATAGCTGCGCAGCCTGCATTCGCTCCATAACACACACACACACACATTTCCCCTTACTTTTTAGGAGGGAAAAAGTGAGTCTTATAGAGCAAAAAATATGGTATACATATAAAGCTAAAGGTAAATGACCCCTGGACAGTTAAGTCCAGTCAAAGGCGACTATGGGGTTGCGGCGCTCATCTCGCTTTCAAGCCAAGGGAGCCAGCATTTGTCCACAGACAGCTTGCCGGGTCTCGTGGCCATCATGACTAAACTGCTTCTGGCGCAACGGAACACCATGATGGAAACTAGAGCGCACAGAAATGCCATTTACCTTCCCACCACAGCGGTAGCTATTTATCTACTTGCAACGGCATGCTTTCAAACTGCTAGGTAGGCAGGAGCTGGGACAGAGCAACAGGAGCTCATCCCATTGTGTGGATTTGAGCCGCCAACCTTCTGATCGGCAAGCCCAAGAGGCTCAGTGGTTTAGACTACAGCACGACCGACATCCAAATATCTGTGCATAAGGGCACAGATCTGGAGCTGGTGTATTTTGTAGCTTGGTGCATAGATCAGATACTGATAAGAGTCTCCGGGTGAAGACTTTTTCCTGCCTGTTTGGACAATTACAAGGAAGCTTGTCTCCAAAGGAGAGAGAGCTTTTCGCACAGTCCTGATAGTCGTATGAAACAGGTTTTGGTGTGTGTATGATTTGTTGCCCCGTCTTACGATACCACAGAGAGCACTACTGTCAAAAAGCTCAGCTTAGCTTCCTTCCGAGATCCACTTCACCACCTGCAATCTATCCTAATCAACAAGGGTTGTCAATGCTATTATATCACAGACTGTGCCATTAAATATCATCATGATGAATATGCCTCCTGAGGACACTGTGATTAATAGCACCCGCATTAAAGCAGAAACAGGGTGTGTGTGCGCCTGTTTCTTGAGCTGCCTCACGTGATCTCAGCAGGCTGTAATAATAATAATATTAATAAATTTTATTTATATCCTGCCCTCCCTAGCCGAAGCTGGGCTCAGGGCGGCTAACAACAATAAAACAGTACAAAAGTACAGCATAAACAACACTCTAAAATCATTCATTATAAAATTAATTAATTCAAGCCACTGGCAACCATTGGGCCAGAGCTCCGCGAAGATTGCCGAGGGAGGGAGTCAGGCTGTGCCCTGGCCAAAGGCCTGGTGGTTCTCAGCTGTTTCTGAATCTGCATCAAATTATTGCCAGGGGCTTAACAGATTCCACTTGGGTCACATCCATACCAATATATACAAAGCATTCTTATACCACTTTCAACAGCCATGGCTTCCCCCCATGGGAAATGCCGTTCATTAAGGGTGCTGAGAATTGTTGGCCCGTGAGGTCAGCACCCTTAACAAACAACAACAACAACAATAATGATTTATTATTTATACCCCGCCTATCTGGCTGGGCTTCCCCAGCCACTCTGGGGGGCTTCCCAAAAAAATATTAAAATACTGTACTACGTCAAACATTAAAAGCCTCCCTAAACAGGGCCGCCTTCAGATGTCTTCTAAAAGTCTGGTAGTTGTTGTTCTCTTTGACATCTGGTGGGAGGGCATTCCACAGGGAGGGCGCCACTACCAAGAAGGCCCTCTGCCTGGTTCCCTGTAACTTGGCTTCTCGCAGTGAGGGAACCGCCAGAAGGCCCTCGGTGCTGGACCTCAGTGTCCGGGTAGAATGATGGGGGTGGAGACGCTCCTTCAGATATACTGGACCGAGGCCAGACAATAAACAGACAAGGTTTATTTGGGGAAATTCATGACAGTTACAGTGGTAAAAGAGTGTTTCGTATGTATGGCATGAATGTCGCCTCATTTCCTTTTTTTTTTAAATAAATGTTTATTATAGTTTAAAATACAAATAAAATATAGTGCAGAATAAAACAAATGTCATAACATATTTTCATATCTTCCTTGGACTTCCTCACGTCTCCCGCTCCCACCTTCATCATTATAGACTGTTGCCAGCAATTCATCATCTTATTTGCATTCTTATAACCCATCTATTTATTTATAATGTAATAGTTAATAAAATTTATATTCTCTCAATCTCACTTGTCATCCCATATCATCTAATTTAGTGGTGCTCAGTTATTTATAATCTAGCATCCTGCTTAACGTTCAATCAAATTACAATATTTTTCTAGATAAATCTTGAATTTCTTCCAGTCCTCTTCCATCCTCTCTTCTCCCAGGTGAATGTGGCCTCATTTCCAAGCTGTTTCCGAATGTTCATCAAGTTGCTGCTGAATGTTCATTTGAAACAATGATCTTCCGTCATAACCCAGAGGCCAGGATGCCTCTGTCAAAACTAGCATATAAGAAATAATAGAACGAGCATGCTAGTTTTGAATGCACAAGGGGTTTTTGTGTAGTGGAACCTTCAGTCTGCCTTCTGAAGTGGTACAGTCCAACTGCCTGCTATCAATATATCACACAAGACTGCCAGTCATGTGTTTTGCCTATAAGACTGTTCCACACATTACACACAGAGGCAAGCTCAGGGAGGGAATCCGCAGCCGATCCTGGCTCCCGCATGACCGCATCCCAGCCGCTTTTGTTTTTATTTCGAATTTGCCATCTTCCTCATTCCTCCCCTCTCTCAAGCAGGTTCTTTGTCCAATGCCTGGCGAGAAGAATTGAGGGAACTTGCTGCAAGAGTCAGAGCCGCCTCGTCCACTGAGAAAAAGGAGGCAGTGAGTAGGAAAAAGGGGGTGGCATTGTGATCCCATCCCCTGGGGCTGATTTGCTAAGGAAGGGGGTGAGCCCAACCCTGGGAATGAAAGTAACCAAGTACAGTGGATGGGAGCAAAAACAGTCCAGTACAATTATTTGTTCAGATAATGAGGAAAAATAGCACTTCTGTTTTCCATTTTGTAACCCTGCTCAGACTTGGGCTGTCTTCTTTAGTGATTCTTTCAGAAGATGACAACTCCTCATTTTGTTGATATCAGAATAAATTATTTCTCATTCAAAGAATACCCAAAGACGAGTTAGTGGAATGCTTAATGTACAGGTAGGGGATGATTAAACCCATGGGTACAGTGGATTGGTGTGTCTGACTGTGAACTAGAAGGTTGCTGGTTTGAGCCCACCCAGGGATGGCAGTGGGCAGGATTCCTGCAGTGCAGGGGATTGGATGAGAAGGTCCTTGAGGTCCCTTCCAACTTTACAATTCTGTGATTTTATGATATAGTGACATGATGGACTTCTGTTGAAATGAATAAGCATAACACTCCCCTGCAGAGGGCAAGGAACCTGCAACTTCTAAATGTCATTGGACTCCCAGCTCCCATCATCTCTGTTGGCTAGAACTGATGGGAGCTGGAGCCATCATCTGGAGGTGGACAGGTTCCCAAACTCAGCTCCACCATGGGCTGGGCTGAGACTGAAACTCCAAGAAGATAAGAAGAGCCTGCTGGATCAGGCCAATGGCCCTTCTAGTCCAGCATTCCCATAGTGACCAACCAGGTGCCCATGGAAAACCCACGAGATCTAAGCAACCTCCAAATTTAGGGATGTCAACACTCCAATCCAGCTTACTTCTCTGAACTCTGAGGCTAAGGTCCAATACCAGAGGGCAGGGCACTGTGGAAAGACTGGGGTGATTCCTAGGCAAAGAATGGCATGCAGTTGCTAGCCTTCCCATTGTTGAAACTTTGGCTCCAAGTGACTTTCTGGAGCAGCTGCCTGGGCCAATTCTCAATTAAATATTTGTGGCCGGTTACACAAGGCCAACCAAGTACACAACTACACAACATCTCTAGTTTTGTAAGGGTTGGTGCTGAAACTCTACCGGAGGTCAGAATTATGGAGCAGCAGAAGACTAGCACAACCGAAATTTGAGCTTTCCCTCAAATACAGATAATACTGGGACCTATTTAGTCTGCATGGATGGAGTCCAGATTTTATAGCATGGTCATCTCAAGAGGGTCAGTGCAGCACTCAGTCCAAGGCATCGCTCCTAATTATACCTTCCTAAAAACTAATCCTCTATTCAGTTTCGTTCTTTTTATGCTTTGAAGTGCTCATGGTTAGGTTTCACCTAACAAAGGAGTTCCCCTGCCTTCATCAACACTTGTTGATTGACTAGGATTAAAGATTGGTAAACACTTAGAACATTTACCTCTTTCCATGCTAATTCCTGATGCTCAGAAGTAGGTACACGCATTCCAATACACATGCATCTTGATTATATTCTCGACATTGGACACAGTCTTTACAAATAACCTCTGATTAAACCTCTTGCATAACCCCTTTCTAATGCACATTGAGACAGTCTTGCAACATATCCCAGTTATAACATACAAGTTCTAATTACATTCTTTTCATTAAACCTAAACATTGAGCACCACAGATCTATCTAGATCCATCCATCCAACTATACACACACTCTCTCACGTACACATCAATCAATCAACCAACCAACTAATCACTCAATCAATCATGTTTAACTCAAAGTCATTACAAACCTTTCACACACCAGTAGATGGCTCACAAGCCTCAGCTATAAATAAGGATGGGTTATTTTGATTTCAACATCTAGTACTTTCCCCATGTCATATTTTGGAGTCTTACGTAAATTTTCTTGATACTGAAAGGACACACCTTTAAATCACTATTACAACATTTAACAGTTGTGGCTTCCCCTAAAGAATCCTGGGGGACCCCTATTCCCCTCTCAGACTGATTTAACAGTCCATCTCTCTTCCCAGGAGACTCTGGGAACTATAGTTCTGTAAGTGGAATAGAAGTCTCTTAAGGACTCTCAGCACCCTTAACAACCTACAGTTCCCAGGATTCTTTGGGGGAAGCAGTGACTGTTAAAGTGGTATGAGGGCCCTTGAAATGTGGCCAAAATGCATTCGCAGTGGTTTCTTAAGAAATGTCTTTCCTTTACTGGAGCAAAAATAGGCTCCTGAGATTATGTCCACATTAAAGGTTCCTTATCAGATCCATAATCAGAGAATTAATTTGCTGTAATATATGCTAATAGTGAATATGGGGCAGACTGCAAACTCAATTCAGCAAGATCAGAGCATGCTCAGTAGACATGGAATGCTGATTGACAGATGAGAGCAGGTGGGAAAGGAAAACATGGGCAGGAGGGGAATGGAATGGAATGGCGTATCCTGAAAGACGGTATGGCTGGCTTACTACAACTCTGGACAGGAGCCCCATACTTTGCAAGATTTTGTGTCTGACTTGTTCTTCCATGTCCAGCTCCTCTACTGTAGCTTGTTGTTGTATTTTAAGGCAGAAAAGCCTCGGAGGGAGACGCAATACTCAGAAGAAACAGGACGTCTCATCCCACCTCCCTCTCGAGCTACAGCTTGCCATTCGTCCCGCCGTTTGCACAGGAACAATGCCAAGAATAAAGGCAAGGATGCGACCCTGCTCTTCCGGGACCAAGAACTTATAGTAAGCCATGCATGGGGAAAAAAGGGGGCAAACAGACCCTTCTTCTTCTTTTTTAACCTATACCACAAACCAATTACAACTATTTTCCTGTAAATTTATTGATGGAGTAATAAGAAAAGTTTCTGCTCAGTGCTGATTATAAATTAAATTTGATTTTGATGGAATAATAAGAACAGTTTCTGCTCAGAATGGATTAGAAATTAAACATGATAAAGCAAATAATTATCACACAGACACACAAATGTTATGTTTCATTTGCTTTGGGGGGAAAGTTAGGAAAGCAGCAAATGCTTATCTTTTTTAAGAAAACAAAAACAAAATTTATATACCATTTGGTTGTAAGAAATCTAAAACTATAAAGTAAAACATTAATTTAAAAAAACCAGTTAAAAACAGGTGTTTAAAAACATTCAAAAGATGATTAAAATGAACAGTAACCAAAAAAGGGATAAGCACATGTAGTTTGCCTAAACAACAATCTTTCAAACAAGTTCTGAAAAGAGTACAGCGAAGGAACCTGCCTGGTGTCAATAGGTGAAGGGGTCCAAAGTGTAGATGCTGCTGAACTAAAGGACTGATTTCTTACAATTGTGGAATGAGTATTACAGTATATGGCATCAGTAACAGCGCCAGTTTCACAATTTCAAGCAGCTGCATGTGCTTATATGGATTAAGGTGATACAGGTACTTCAGGTAAACTGGTCCCAAGCTGTTAAGGGCCAATAATAACACACTGGACTTGGCCCAGCCCAGCAGCAAATGGGCAACCACTGCAGAACTCTTTGCACTTTGAAAAGAATAAAACCTGGTTCTAAATAGCCACTTTCTGAGAGCCCTACATAGAGCGAGTGCCCAAACAAATCGGAGATTCATATGACACAACTTTTGCTAGGCTGTGTAACACAGGCCTGCTGCGTGCTAACCTGCCTGTTTAAGATCTTATTCTCAACCCCCAGAGAGTTCATGTCTCTCCTCTTGAATACACAAATAGATTTCGTCTGGTAGAACTGGGGGAAACTGGCCTTAGTCAACTTTTCCATAGCCCATCTCCCAACTTCCAAAAGATGTTGAGGCATCCCCCTGATGGACCTGACTGACTAGTTATTGGCAGGGAACAAGCACCTGTCCACCAAGGCCCTCCTGGATCAGAAACTCTTTCAAAGATTACTGTTGCCAGTCCCTCAGCATTACTGCTACCTTATACCTTATGTTGGTGTCGGGGTCTTGGGTGTACTTCTGGCCAGACTCAAAAGGGATATTTCCCCTTAACATGCCTAGATCCACTTAGCTCATGCTGCATGTGTGCAGGGTTTGACAGAGAAAAGCAAGCTAAACCTTGGGCTCTGGGCTAGCTCTGTCCCCTCATAAGTGTTTGTTTTGGACTCTCGGAAAGCACACCTGCCTAAGGATTGAGGGGTCCTAAGGAAAGTGTGGTGGCAACGGGGAAGATCTCACACTTGTCGTGGCATTAGGTTACTCTCCAACACCAAGTAAAAGTCCCCAGGACCTTTCCTGGAATTCCTAAGCATTCCAGCGTTGCCATATTTTTTAAAAAGAGGAGACTATGACTATTCAAAGCAAATAAATGCAATGTGACTCAAATTATACCCCTGAAAAACAGGGACGTGGGTGGCGCTGTGGGTTAAACCACAGAGCCTAGGACTTGCCAATTAGAAGGTTGGCGGTTCGAATCCCCACGACGGGGTGAGCTCCCGTTGCTCGGTCCCTGCTCCTGCCAACCTAGCAGTTCGAAAGCACGTCAAAGTGCAAGTAGATAAATAGGTACCGCTCCGGCGGGAAGGTAAACGCCGTTTCCGTGGGCTGCTCTGGTTCGCCAGAAGCGGCTTAGTCATGCTGGCCACATGACCCGGAAGCTGTACACCGGCTCCCTTGGCCAATAAAGCGAGATGAGCGCCACAACCCCAGAGTCGGTCACGACTGGTCAGGGGTCCCTTTACCTTTACCTTATACCCCTGAAAAAGAGAGTGTGTCTTGGAAAAAGAGGACACATGGCAACCCTAATTACCCTAAGATAGGTCTCCATACCTTGCTGCCTGCAAGCTACTAGGTATAAATGGAAGCCCACCAAGGGTTTGACCAGCGTCCTCATTCTGACCCCTGCCTGGGACTGCGGGGAGAGGCGTGGGGAGATTGCACCATAGGAACAACGAATGGTAAGGTAGGGCAAAGTTCTCACCAGCATAAAAATTACCGAGATAAGCCTGTGTGTATACCCTCTTGACCCTGTTGTATCAATGTCACTCTGACCCCGGTTGTGCTGACACTTTCCCACTGTACTCTTCTGCCAACAGATTTTAGAGCTGCTCTGTCAGATCCTGCAGACAGACTCCTTGACTGCGATCCAGCAATGGCTGCTCATGGCTGCGCAGAGGGGTAAGGTGCATGCAGAGCCTGCAAGGAGCAAAAGCCTTTGGAAATGTGCATTATCTCTACTTTGTTATCAACTATCTCCCCCTATTAACACCCATTGCAGCTCAGTGGGTTGTTGTCTAATGCATCAAAACACTCAGGGCATGCAGCACGTTTGCAATGCCACCTTGAAGCATAGGCCTTTCCACACATTACAACACAGCAGCACCCGGGGGATTGCAGCAGAATGTGCAGCCGACAAGTCAGTCCTGATTTTCTGGTCATTGTTTCTGGCTATGTCTCATTTGCAGATTATATAGCCCAGCCAATGTGGTCCATGCGTTGGTACCCTGGATCACTGCAATGCACTCTGTGTGGTGCCACCCTTAGAACTGGCCTGGGAGCTGCAGCTAGTGCAGAATTTAGCAGCTCAGCTGTTGACTGGGCTGGGCCCAGTGGCGGAGCAAGCCGATTGGGCGCTGGGGCAGCCTGGGGATGGGGCCAGCTAGGGCAGGATGCTCCACAGGGCCTCAGAGGAGTCTGCCTACCTCCTCCCACTCAGCCGCCCTACAGCTGGGGAGGAGGCAGTGGGTGGGCTGTTTGGGGCAGCATGGAGCCTCCGGGCGCTCAAGCCACCGCATCACTCCCAGGAGAGATGCATGGCTCAGGCATGCTGCAGGCCCCGCGGTGAGTGCCGCCTGGCAGTTTGTCACACACACACCCTCAGTGGCGACACCCGGGGCGGGGCAGCCTGCCCTCACCGCCCTCCCCTTCCTCCACCCCTGGCTGGGTCATCGAGACCGCACACATCATCTCTGCTGAAATATCTGCCCTGGCTGCCAATATGCCACCAGGCCAAACACTTTACCTGCTGGACCACCTCACTCCATATAGCCTTGCCAGACCATTAGATCATTAGGAACGACACTTTTGCCAGTGGTGCATGGTGGAACTGCCAGGAATAGGGCCTTAATAGTGGCAGTGCCAAAAGCATGGAACTCCCAACTGATATTAAGCAGACACCCTCACTATTAAGCATTGGAGACTTAAAGCTTTTTTATTCATTCAGTATTGTGACTCGGCTGTGTGCAATCTGCATATTATGAACAGTTTTCTTTGTTTTATTAAGTTTATGTTGTTTTATTAGTGTCTTAGGCACATCACCCTTTTTGTGGCTTAGCAGTATATGAACCTGCATGATGAATAAACATAATAAATTAGATTACTAGATATGCACCGAAATTAGCAACATAGGAATAATTCCTAACATGTTAACACCTGTACAACGCCTTCCTCAAGTGACTTTACAGCCAAAGTGAAAATGCAATAATAAAATCACATAAACGTTATTAAGCACAGTCCTATCACCAGCGTTGCCAAATGCCTGGGGAAACAAGTATGCCTTTGCCGGATGCTGAAATGATGACAAAGTTTGTGCCAGTCAGGCCTCCCTGAGGAGAGCATTCCATCAACAAGAGGCTACTACAGAGAAGGCCTGTTCTCTCATCATCAACCCTCAGTTTCCAAAACTTGGGTCTCCAGCTGTTTTTGGACTCCAATTCCCATCATCGCATATCACTGGTCCTGCTAGCTAGGGAAGATGGGAGTTGTAGTCCAAAAACAGCTGGAGACCCAAGTTTGGGAAACCCTGCTCTATCTAGATCCCCCTCAAAGATCTCAAGGTCTGGGCAGGTTCATTTGGTTATTTACAAACTGATAGTTTTATATGGGAATGATAAAATGTGGGCTAATTTTTATTTGTATGTGAAATTGCATGCAGAAAAAAAGAAGGGCAGCTGGGACAAACCTATTTATTTTACCTTAAAACTGTGCAGGTGAGATCTTTTGATTCCTAAACATGTCCTCTCCTCTCCCTGCAGAAAAGGACCTTGTCATGGGATTGTTGCAGACGGCAACTGCCAATTTACATCTTGATCCCCAGGAGCTGACCACAAGCATGGAAGAGAGACTTCCATCACAGTTGCCCCCAGATGCCTCAGGATTTGCCTCCAAACCGCGCAGCTTTGGGAGAAATCATGTAACCAGGTGCCCTCTTTGCAAGTCCTTTGAATGTTTGCTAAAATGAATTTCTGTTGCATATTACAGAAAATAACAAGACACGTTATGGGGGAAAGTACTACTTCTTGACACAGCACAGACTTAAATCATGGAATTTGTGCCCACAAGAGGTAGTGGTAGCAAGCAACCTGGATGGTTTTAAAAGAAGTCTAGACAAATTCATGCAGGGTAAAGCTACCAATGGCTACTAGCCACCCAGAGTGGCTGGGACAAGTGGCTAGGATGGACTACAATTAATACATTCTCATTATTGCTATCATCTTCTACTTCCAGTAGAACTTCAAACCCACTGGTTATATGTTAATATGAACACAGGGCTGGATTTAGGTTTGATGAGGCCCTAAGCTACTGAAGGTAATGGGGCCCTTTATATGTCCAGCTGTCCTTTGTCAACAACAAATTGTCACTGTTTTTCATGTTGAATATATGCTATATGGTAATTTATGGACCTAATAGGTATCTAAAGCCATTTGCACATAACAAAATATGTATTTTATCAAAGTAATGGTTGAACTGAAATACAATTAAGAAGAAGTATATTAATGGTGAAATTGGGGGGCGGCAAGAGAGTGGGGCCCTAAGCTATAGCTTGTTTAGCTTATACATAAATGTGGCACTGCATGAACATTAGGGACACAGCCAGCAGACTGCTAAAGTCTCCTCAGCATCATTCCTGCTGGAAAGAAACCATTTCAAGGGCTATGCAAATGCTGAAGATGAAGAGATTGTCCAAGATGAGCACAAAATGACAAAAGTAGTTTTCATGCCAGAAATGTTGGTCAAGGTGCATAGCTTCTCTTATAACCATGTTGGCCCTGGTTTATTTTGTTGCAGGCTGTCTGTTATGAGACAAAAACAAGAACCTATCCCAGAAGAAGAAAAGCCAGGTAAAAACAAAAACAAAAAAAACCCTGTAGAAAATGCTGTGTTTTCATTGGAAAATGCAAGGCATGAAGTAGGTGTCCCTGCGGCAACCAGTGGAAATGTCCTGTGTAGGGATCTTAAGCAGGGAATTAGCTGCTGGATGTGCTTCATGTGGGTTGAGAATCAGACTCTAGACTCAGAATAAGCCAAGGGCACAGAATAAGCCGATTACACAGCTCAGCTTCCAACATGTTCCCAGCAAACTATTTCCTATGAGGCCATCTGCGCAGGGTAGGCATATGCCCCTGCTTGCTCCTTAGGCTCAGTGAACTACCCTAAGGTGGAGGAGCAGGACTGCATATGTATTGTGTAAGCACTTAATGTGGAATTATGCTTCATGCCTGGTTTGTGCATGCTGAACCACACGGAGAGCCAACATCGTGCCCTCCTGACATATAATTACAGCAGGACTTACATAATTACAAAATGGATGGCACAATTGTTTCCTGTATTTCTAAAGAAGGAAGGTGTTCTCACCTGGGGCCTATGTGAAGTCAAGCCTTTGGTGAGCTGCATCCAGAAAAGCAAAAGATGCTGGCACTTCCTCAAAAAGCTTCAGGTTTATCAAAGTGATCTTTGACTTAAGCAAGGTTTTTCTGTTTGCGTTTTCTGTCGTGGCAGTGGGCCCAGTCAAAATCAGCCATGCTCCTACACATAGGACACGACTTGATATTTCGTAACCAGCAACTGGAGAAAGAAAATTAGCCATGTATGCTTCCCATGGGACTTGATAGATATTTGTAATTAACATTCCTTACTGGTGAATGTGACCTGTTTTTAAATACCAGGCTCCCTGATCCTTCATTGAAACTGATTGATACTTTACTGTTCTGTTGCTAACAAAATTTCTCCTGCAGATTACTTTTCCTGAGTGCTTGCCAGCATTTTGGTCTCAAGTTTAGGTTATAGTCAGTTCCGGCCTTACTGTTAGACAGTTTGAGGGGACTCCTTCATACTTCATATATATTTTTGAATACCATTAAAGGGGTGAAAAGTTGCTTATTGCTACTTCCCCGTCCCCACACACAACTGAGTGGGCCTTTTGGATCTTTGACCTCAGGCACCAAGTTAACTTGGATTATCTTTCTGCTTCATATTTATATAACCCTATTGAATTCTCTGCTGATTCTGGTTTACTTCGGTGGATGCAAGCAATCAGTCAGTCATCATTCATCATATGCTACCTAATTGCCCAAAGGAGGTTTGGAAGTCTGGTGGTATGCCAGGGTAGCAAATTTGGGCAGGGAGTTTACAAAAATGTGGCCATAATCTCTGGTTCTCATTGTTAAGTTGTGGGTGAACATATCAGACCACACAGCGATTCTTCAAACAGCTCTTGTTTATTCACAGGCCAGAACAGAACTGAACTGAAGGGTTCAGTCAGCCTGCTTATATAGAGCTCCAGTACATCGTAACTGTAACAACTTTTCTAAAACTATCCAATCACTGAATGTCACTTTTGATCCCTTATTTGCATAACTATCTACAGTATCCCCCTGCTGGCCCAGGGTGAGAACTTGAGTACGTAACACTCATATCCACTGGAAACACATTAACCAATCCATCTCATTTGTGCTTTCCATTTTCAGTGCACATTGGCTCTGCAGAGGTTCTCCAGTTTCACCCCTCTGCAGATGAAAAGCAAAACCAATCAGACCAAACCAATTAGAAAGAAACCTTCCTCCTGATGTGACTACTCTTGCTGCTCCAGCTTGTAGTGTTACCGCTCCTGCTACTCACCCAATGGCAACAATGCTGCAAGAAAAAGGGCTTCTTTAGAAAAACCCGGCATCTCAGAACGTGCCTCTTGGATTGAGGCACCGCAGTCTTCAAGGGGGATGACATTTTGAGATATTGTTCAATGAGACTCTGCACAATTCTGAAACCGTTGGAAAGACCCATTCCGCTGTGTCCTCCTGTGTTCCAGCTTGGTATTCAGCATGATTCAAGAGAGGAACTCCAAGAAGTTGCAGAATGATGAACATGGAAGGTGCACCTTTAATGGCATGGTGCCTATTGTAGGACGATTCTGAACTTTGAGACAAGGACTCAGAGCCTTTCATTCCTTCTTTGATAGCTGGTAGTATGTCAATTAATTATTTCCTCTCTTGGAACTATTTGCATTCCATCCCCACACTGCTGTTTGCTTGCCTGCTTTTTAATGACCATAGTAGGAGTGCAATTAAGATGTTACAAAATTCTGCAGCTTTGTTTTTAAAAAATAAAAAGCTAGTTGTTTGAGGCTGCTGCTTAGTGCTCTGAATTGTCCGGGGTGTGGAGGAGCTGAAACTTTTCCTAAAGAGCTAGGCTCTAGTTACCTGTTTGGGCTGTGAAACCGACTAGAGCGAAGGGGAGAGGACAGGGAGAAAGATTCCTCCTGCTCAGGAATTTGCTGATGAAAGTCATGTATATTACGTGAAACAAGGATTTAATCATACAGAATTGTTTTGTTGTTGTTGCTGTTGGGTTTCTAAAGGCAGCCTGTAGAATTCTCTTTAACAATAAATCTACGATGAACAAAAACATTCAACATGTGTCCCTGCCTGCCTCCAGAAGCCGTTCAGTTCTTGAGGCGAAACAAGGATGCAAAGTGCTTGCGGTCTGCACATTCCTCTGCGATGGAAAGCCTGTTCTGCAAAGGGACTGTTCCTCCAGTGTCAGGGAAACACCTAAACTTTCTGTGCCGCCATGTGATCCCTATCAGGGATGCCAAATTTCATCCAAGCAAAGGCAGTATCGGGTCTGCCTTTCATTCACTATGAATGATTTCCTCCCAAACAATTCAATTCAGCGTGAGGGAAGCCTTCATACAAGCTAGAATGGATCTTGTCTGGCTGTGTTTGCGCATGCATATGCATGTGTGTGCTCGTTCCCCCAGAAGCGCATTCACAAAGCCAAGCTTCTTCCTCCCTCCCAGCCTGCCCTTGAAGTAACTTGATCTTAGAGGCTGGAACACTGAGCCCCTTGAAGTTGGTAAAGAGGAGAGAGAGAGGCGCTGCTTCTTAGTGCTATGCCTGCTTCCTCCAGTTTCCCTCTGGAGGAGGAAGGTGAAGGGGGCCCCTTTGCAGAACTTTCTTACAGATGGGGGCTGATGGGTAGGGAATAGAAAGACTGCAAAACAGGAATGCAGATTCCAAAGGCTCCGCTTCAAAAGTCCATTGCAGCATTCATCCTCAGAGCTTTGGTAAATGTTGATCCATCACATTCCAGGCCCTGAGTACCGTTTGCTGCTGCTGATTAATCATTTGCCTTCCCGGTGATGTGTAATTTGGGGATAGGAAGCAAGTCAGGGCTGGCCGCAATATATTGTGAATCTTGGCTCGAGGAGTCTCTCCCCACCCCCTTTTTGGATTCGCTGCCCATCCATGCATTTTGATTTGAGCACACAATCTGCACCATGAACTCGCCGGCAGCTTCAAGATACTGCTGGCTGCTTCTCTTTTTCTTTCCCTCTGCAGCAAAAGGTAAGAGAGAGAAGGCACTGGGAAGCTCGGGGGGAGGGCATGAAATCTGAAAAATATCTCACTGAGGTGAGTCCTGGTTAACTTATTTGCTCGTTGGGATTCTCAGGCTCAAAGGAGGGAAGCTGTGAAAAGGATCCCCTTCTCAGTCCCATTCATGTACAATTTATTGGCATGGCAACTATCAACCAGTGGATCCTGAGGGGCAGCTCTTTGTGACTCAGATTCAGGCTCCCGGATCCCAGAGCCTTGCCTGCAAATTTCCCTGAACACCTGTTGTTTGCCACATGTTCGTGGGAAATATAAAATTAAGTGGCACGGAAAGTATTTAAACGTGACTTAGCTTTCATAGCTACCAAACGGTCAGTGGAAAGCTGATTATGCTCCCCCCCCCCACAACCCATAGCTGTCAACCTTTCCCTTTTATTGTGAGGAATCCTATTCAGAATAAGGGAATTTCCCTTAAAAAAAAGGGAAACGTTGACAGCTATGCCCCAACCCCATCCTTGGATCTGCTATGGACTTTTTGCAGAATTAAGGATGCCAAATCAAAATGGGTTATGAAATGTAACTACTTGGTTGCTATGAGCATTCAAATGGTGTGTTATATGAAACAGCAATCATTTTAATAACACAACATATTGGACCATGATAGCGTTTGACAAGAAGGATCTTTAAACCCTACAATTTACGGTGGCTTAAATTGGAGAGAATCCGTATTAAGGCGATTCAGATGTGGCACACCTCAACCAAAATTAAATACATTTTTAAAGCTATTGGCAACAGGGGGATTGAAAATGATCAACTCTAACTGGACTGGGCTGATTTCCCCCCACCCCCCATTAAGCTCTATGGCTGAAATTCTAAATATATTTTATGGAAGTCTCATCCTATTCAAATCATTGGAACTTACTTACCCGGTGTGGATCAGGAATAACAAATGTCCATTAATATCTGTAATAGTGCCTAAGAGCATCTTCCTGCAGACATGGTAATATCTCAGCAATGATTGTTACCTCTTCTATTTAAAATAGGGGTGGGGAACCTGTGACCCTCTAGAGCCTGCTTGACTACAATTGCCATTATCTTTAACCATTGGCCATGCTGGCTGGGGCTGATAGGAGTTGGAGTCCATAAAAACAGAGGGCCACAGGCTCCCCACACTCTATAGGAGTGAGCATAATAATTGCACTGCCCCTCCAGAATATTATGATACTAATCAAAGCCTATGACAGATAATCACACAGAACTATGCTGATCTAGCTGTTCCATTTTCTGCCATCCAGCGTTACTTTCTCCTACCTCTGTCCAGCTGTTTATGGCATGAGAAGGAATTACAGTGCACATGATAAGAGCTTGATATTCCATCCTTGGGGTGACATAGGACCAAGCCACATTGCCTTAGCAAAGGGGGGTTGTGAGGTTGGTGGGGAAACTCAACTGGTCAGTATTCTTGGCGTCCAGCACCTCCAACAAATTCATCCCTTCCTTCTCACATGGACCAGCTGAGACTCAGCATCTTATTTAAAAGTGTTCAAGTGACTTCAGTGTAGGACTCTTTTATAGAGAACCTGGAGGCACCATCTTTCAAGTCAGGAATCCTATACCAGTACCGCTACTCACTGGGTGGCCAGCTAAGATATCTGTCAAGGCCATCTTTGCAAGGAAGCAAGCTGCAGGCTGAAGCTCTGGTTGATGTGCATCTCGTGTGGAGAAATCCCAGCAATGCCGGGGAGCACCTTCTCCAAGTCCAAGTTGGTGACGTCTTCATCCTACAATGGGTTTTAAACGATTGAGAGGGGAAACACTGGTTTTCCATTACTAACCAACGCCGGAGATTTCATTAAGCATGTTCAGATTGTATGTTTCTCCTGCTACTGCTGGGCTTCTATTCGGCACTAGAACTGACATTGCTCACTTAGAATGTCCACCTAGTCTGACCAATAACTCAGGTTGATCTGGAAATGATCATCCTCAGCTAACAACCCTCCCCGTTCCCTGCCAACACTATCTGCACAGACGTCGAGCAAAAGAACGTTGCATATTATTTTATACACTGCAAGCACATAGTTGAACTATGGGATTCTTTGCCAGAAGGGGAGCTCATTTCCACTAACTTAGATGGCTTTAGAAAGGGATTGGACAAATAATTAGCATTGTTACTAAAAGAGGAGTAGAGAAATGCAGGTCTTTTTCCTCAGGCTAGCCCTGAGTACATAGAATAACCAATGGATACTTCTCTTGGAGACCTGTTCTGTTTATAGACACTTAGCCCCACTGCTTTCAGCTGGGAGAAGAGAGGGACATCACAGTGTGGTGCATTTACAAATAACTTGTGGGATGGGAAAGCAAGAGAGAGAATGAGAAGGGGTGCCATCTTGTCCCCTTCAGACCACCTGGCCCAAAGGTGTAACTCTGAAGGACTGGGGAGGTGGGCAAAAGTCTTAATTTTCTTCTGCTCATTTTGGGAACTTAGATGCATGGCCTACAACTCCATCATGATCCGGAACAAAGTAAGAGTCAGACGGATAACAACAATCAACCTGCCCAAGTTTCACTGAACACTACAGAACTGGAGCAGCCCGTTTTCCTGCATTGGAAAAATGGGAAGGTATGTTAATATGAGGCAGACCTTTTGAGGCTTGCTCACTTTTCTCTCCAGTTTCAGCTTCATGCAAGGTAGCCAGCATCGCCAACAAGGATGTTTATACTTTTCATTGTCATTAGAAAGCAATTAGTGGCGGACAATTGTCAACGTTTGCCTAAGAGGAAGCTCCCTTCAGAAACCACAAGCACAGCTTTCTATGGACTAGTGGCAGTGCCCAAGTAGTATCAGGTAGTATGCCAGGTATTAATACCACTAGTAATGCACTTGTGCAAGCCAAGGGGAGATGGGAGTGACTGTACTACCCAGCCTGCTTCAGCCAGATATATTTCACAATAAATATAGGATAGAACTAATATTGCGTAAGAACACAACAGAAGCCTGTGCTTTCATATTCCGGTAATAAAATATAACATGAAATGTAAACCTATTTTAGATAGGAAAAAATAAGTTGTTCTACTGCCACTGCAGGTAGAAAACCTCCCTCTTGAGAAACCACTGGAGAATTTCTCCTCACCCTGGAGAAATTTGGTGGAGTACTTAGCCCACCTACTCACAAATTTCAAGAGGTCGTCTCCACACAGCTCTGACTTAAATGCTTGATAATTAGCAGCTGAAGTGTGTGGATTGAGTTTGCTGGAAAAGCATTCTGTTTTGAGGAGGTGCGTAAGTTCTATCCGTGGTGTTGGACCTGGGATGGCCTGTTCACCTCTGAGAGTCACAATTCATCCTTCTGTTGTCTGAAACGTTGTCTGGGATACTCCAAAGGTTCCCATCATTGCTTTGAGTTTGGGGCAAGTTTCATGGAACCAGATTTTCCTACCATTGTTATGGGTGCCAAAAGAAGCAGCAGCAGCAGATTTTCCTACCTCATGCTACTGTTACTCATTATCAAACTACTGATAGCCCACGAGGAAGAGAAATGATGACCATTTAGTTCATGCACCTCTTTCTGCTATCCTTGGTCACTTTTCCCCTCAGATTCCCTCTCACCATGGCCTTGCTTTCACTTTGCAGGTTGAAGGCATCTATGAAGACCAAGCTGGAAGCCCCTTAACTTTGGAGCTGAAGAGAGGCCTGGTCAGCCTTCTCCAGTTTCAGACCCACTCTGGGACAGTGACTGAGGTAAAACAAGGCTCTTTCTTTCTTTCTTTCTTTCTTTCTTTCTTTCTTTCTTTCTTGCCACTGCAGCAGCAAATATCCTTGTACTCTTATATAGCTGTAGTACCTAGCACCTTTTACGTCTTCTAAAAAGTGCTCTCACCCACCACAAAATAAGGCCAATGATTAAGGAAGCACCATGAGGGTTTATTTCATTGTGCCTCAACTTCATAATCGGCCAGTTCTGCTCATGTAGCCACTCCACTTTTTACGTTTGCAAAAAATCAAACACCAAGTGCTTTCAGCATCGATAAAGAGCGTTTGTGCATCTTGTGTAAGAATCATGGAATTTGGAAAA